ATCTTGATCTACATTAATCTTAAATCTAATATGACATCTATTTAATTTAAATATTTCAATAAAAAAATAATATAAATATAATAATAATAATCAATATAAATATTTAAATCAATATTAAATAAATAAAAACTAATATAAATATATAATAATATATATAATATATATCATAATCAATATAAATATTTCAATTAAAAAAATAATAATTGAAAATGTTCAAATTTACAATTTTTTTCTCAGTATACGAAATATGAGATAACCGTGAAACATATACAAATGCTTATGATTACGGGTGCACGCGCATCAATCACACAGTCTAAATAATATAATTTAATAGGAAATTCAATCCAATTATTACACGAAGCGATTTATATACATATAATACATATAATTGGCTCGAATAATTGAGATTCTTTATATAATCCTCCTATTATAATAATTGCGTTATCATAATAACGAGACGATCATTAACGACAGAGAGAAGGGACGGGATGGGCGCGAGGGAAATTTCGGAAAAATTTTCCGCGGCTACGCTACGTGTAAGTACGTACAACGACAAGTATCGAGTCAATTGCCGTTGTTAGAACGCTGTTTTGTCATTGCGTAACTAGCGGCGATCACGAAGGCAGCAGCGGTAGCCAGCGTTGTTCGGCCAGCGCGGCTCGCATTTTGCATAAATTACGCGTACGTTCTTCTATCCGGCTTTTGTGGTCGCGTGATCGCGCGACGTTATTGTCGAAATGACGTTGCCGCGAGGCGCGTTACAAGCTGCACAGGCGCGGCAAAACAAATAGACGACCGACACGTGAAACATGTGTACGTATGCATACATTGTACGTAAGAGAGAACGTTGTTCCTCGTACACGAGCGATTTTCCACACGAGCGACAATTTTCGCCTCGACGACGAGATTGAGAGATCGATGCGTGACAAGAACAGCGTTGGTAATTTTCAAAATCCATCATCTTTACGCGTCACGATGAAGGAGGGTGTTTTGTTTACGATGTAAATATCTAAGGTTCATTGACGCTGGATCGTGGCTTTTAAAAAGTTTTGTTGATAATCAAGTGTATCATATTAATCCCTTATATCATATTATTATTTTTGGCACCTTTAAAGTGTGAGGACAAGAAGGTCACTTTTGTCCGACACGTTTTTTAAAGGATAAAAATGTTGAAAAAATCTGGAAAAATTTGTACACCTTTTTATCCTTCCAAAAAAATAATAAATTTATAAAATAATTTAATATATTTTTATTGCAAATATATGAAGCGAAATAGTCAAAGGTGGACATGTGACCTCCCTATACGGAGTAAGGATTAATTTATACTAATATGATATGACATTGAAGATGATTTGACGTATCCATATAATATGATAAATTTGTGGAAACGCAAAAAATTAAGAAACTCGTATGATTTTCAAAGGAAACAAGAAAATGTTATAGGAGCAATTTAAATATAATAACGTATATTAACGTAAATAAAAGTGTGCAATATTAAATGATATTCATAAACAAACTAAATTTATATATTTAATTATAATTTCTAGTTAATAATTATTTTCACGTTAATAATTATATAACTTTCGAGAGAAGATTACTATTGTAGCAGAATATTTTTTAAGAAAAACCAAGTGATGATTGTCATCTCATCTTTAATAACGTCTAGTCCAAGGTACCATTCCGACTAACAACGGTAATTTCTCTATCCGCGTTCGTCATTAAACAGCTGCGAGCTGTCACTTCAGCAGTTCTTATCGTTCTCGAAATCGGTTCATCGTAAAGATCTCCGATTCGCCCAAGATTCGGAGGGAAAGGAAAAAAAACATCGTCGTCGCGACACCGGCGACGTGACGTCGATACGACGCGCGACGGCGCGGCGCGACGCGCGTTCGATTCCGCGAAGCGCTCGTAAATTTCTCACGCGCGCGGACATTCGTTAAAAGAAAGCCGACAAGTTCGTTACAAGACGGAGCGGGAGAGAGAAGGCGAGAGGGAGAGATGAAAGAGAAAACGCGTCCTCTGTGCGCGGACAAAAGATGAATTCGAGACCGATGACCTCTCTCTCTCGAGGGAAAGAAGACACGAGAGGGGAAAGATATATAGAGAGAGAGAAAGAGGAAGCGCGAGGAGAGGAGAGGGAAGAGAGCGATGAGAGACGAGAGCGACTCGACGCGTAGAAAGAGAAAGAGAGAGGCGAGGAGAGAGAAGATTGCCGTTAGTCGATCGCGCGAGGACTGTTTTAACATTCCGTTCTCGGGAAGTGACGCGTCTCGGGAATCACCTGGTGATCGACCGGCGATGCCAGTTTTCAAACCCGTTTCCTCTCGTCGTCGTCGTCGTCGTTGTCATCATCGTGTCTCTTCTTATGCTTTCCGTATCTGCCTCCCTTCTCCCCTCTTCTGCACAGCCTCCGAGCCCAGCTGGCTCGTCTCCGCGAGGTAGACCGACCTGTATATTACGCCCCGAAGGACCGGATCAGCCGGAATCGTGTGTATCGAGGTACCGACCATAGGATGACAGCTCGCGCGCAAGTAGGTCAGGTACCGAGCGGCGAGGAGGGGCGGAGAGCAGGAAGGTGTATGAGAGCCGTCTCTCTCTCTCTCTCTCTCTTTCTCTCTCGGCGGCGATTCCCGCTCGCGAATCCCCTTTCCTCGCGGGTGAAGCTCGACGACGAGAAACGCGAACGCACACTCACCTTGCTGCGAACCTTGGGGCTGAGGTAACGGCCCGTGACAATTTGAAACGGGCGCACTGAACGCACTCCATGCCTCCGTTCCTTGGTCGCGAGCCGAGCCACTCGTTTAACACCGTGTCGAGGAGCGCGGCGCGGCGCGGCGCGAGGGAGGGTGTTCGCCTCGGCTTTTTTTTCGAGACTGGGAGCCGGCGGGAGCGGCGCCGACGCGCCGTCACCAGTCGGACATGAGCGACGAGCGTCGACGCGCGCGAAAAGCGAACGGTCACGGCGCGAGAACGCGAGGAATACAAAAGGACACGAGCACGACGGAGTATACTCGCACGGCGGCACGTCGCGTCGCGAAATACGCGTGCGAGTCGGCATCGCTCGGCCCGACTCGGCCTGCTTCGGCGCGGCGAGCCGCCGCTGGCGACGCCGCGCGGCCGTCGCGCGAAGCTCGTCCCGAATTTTCCTCTATATTTTTATTACGGAATAATTAATATATTAAGTCTCGATTAACGTTGGTTGCACCAACGTTATTTTAGCTTTAATCGAGACTTAAATATATGTCTATCTTTATCATTCTTTCTAAATAAATAAATATTTAAGTTTCACTTAAAGCTAGAATAATGTTGGTGCAACCGGGCATAAGAATTATATATATTATATATTTATATGTATATATATTGGACATAAATATATATGTAAAATATTAGGAATTGTAAAGAAATAAGTAATAGTTTTGTAATTTGCGAGAGAACATTATTTTTAGATATGCATGATTTTTATTTATTTATTTTTATCAAATGAAATATGATATGGAAGCAATAAATAATATACATTATAATTCGGGAGGAAGGGTAATTCTAGATAATTTCAGAGACAAAATGTTAAAAAAAGAGTATTCTAGATAATTTCAGAGACAAAAAAATATTAAAAAATAATATATATATTACTTATATTAAATTAAATATAAAATTAGTAATAGTAATGATACTGATAGAAACATTAAGAATGAAAATAAAAATTTATAAATCAGCAATATGTGCATACCTGATTATGATTGTGCATCAATTGCATTTTCACTGTACTTTTGGCGAAATATGGCGTCCTAGAATAGGATGTGATTTCGATATACATGCAGGATGATGGATATCAAAATCTAACTATATTGATGCGTATTAAGATTGCACACGATTGTTTATGTTACTTATAAGATACTTTCGATGATTCTTCACTCGCGAGATTTATTTTTTCAAGAATAACAATCACGAAAAATACGGAATGTGATTCGCATCGCGGTCCGTGAATAAACTACTGCGATTCGAAAAGGATGCTTCGAGAATCGCAATATCGAAGAAATCGCAATTTTCGAGATATCGATCGAAGCACTGGGTGCGTTCAGTAACGCGACCAATTGGTTTCTTACTTTTGAGTCCACCAATCACATTCGACTGCTACTCAGTTGCTCAATCAACAGTCGTGCTATTGAATGCACCTTAATTGCATACGTCATAGCTCTGTTTGCGCATGCGTGATTTAGTTACGTGTAATTCAAAATATAACTCTACATATGTGTATATTTAATTTTTCTGTATCAAAAGAAAGAAGTAAAAGAAAAAAGAAATAAAAGTGCAAATAAACTAATATGCAGAGAGAAATAAACTTTGAGGTGTTTTTATAAACATATTAACAATCAATATCGAAGCAATACCTAAAGCGTCATCATTACCTAAAGCGTATAATTAACGGTATGTATGTAATTAATGATGAATGATAATTAATTTTTAATGATCATTGTACATTAATTATATTTTTAATGCAATTTGCTGACAAAAGGAGATATAATAAGGAATATTGAATAATTTTGAATAATTCTAGGAACGAAAAGCAGATTGCTGACATTGGAGTGTAACTATTCCATAACTGATTTGAAGCTTATCAAAGGATGCTGCGATTTGAAGGTGAATCAAACACAATTATTATATTTAATTAATTTAGATATTAGCAGAATTCAATATTTTCTAATAGCTATTAAAAAATCATTGAAATATTGCAGTAATATAATTTCTATTATTGAAAATAATGAAAAATATTGAAATGCACAATCAAAAAAAGAAAAGAAAGAGAGGAAAGAAGGAACTCTTTTATGTATCATTATATACAGAATATTGTACTTTTTCCATGTTTCAGAGAAAGAATGGTTTTAAAATTTGCATTTCTTGTTTAATATATTTTTGCCATATTTTGTTTCGCTCAGGATATGCTCTTGCATTAAATTCAATTAAATTTTATAAAATTTATGTATTTATATACATAATTAGATACAGGATTATGTGACAAAGATGTGTAAGAATTTTTTACATTACACTGACATATATTTTTCACATGCCAAAATTTGCAATAATTTGTCTTTGTATGTCGGATCTAGAATTTCATCTAGTTTCCTCTCGAGTATCGGGACATTGTTTCTATAATTGTGTGCAATATCCTTAAAGGATGATGATGCAGAGAAATCAGTATTTAGGCGATAATTTATCCATCTCACAACATCCGGTGATAACGTTCTATTAATAGGATATCGTTGCATTATCGATTTTGTAAAACCAAAGCATAATTCTGATATCTTCACAGGTTCAAAAACATCATAGTTCCTACATTTGTTGAATACCTGATGCAAACATTCAAATTGTTATTTTAACGATAAAATTTGGATTCTTTTAATTATAACTAATAACTAATTCACTTACATCCGTTTCGTCCATTTCATAATCTGCATCCCCTAATAACGAAATGCTCCAACAAAAGAGAGCGCTTATCGCTATTTCGGGACATTTATTAGCGACTGTTTCGTTAAACTTCTGGAAAAATATCGACAGAATACTCTCGATGCACTCCAATTCGTTGCACGGTTCAATTTTGCAAATTAACTTGGATGCTTCGTGTCGAATACTCGCATTATCGTCGACCAACAATTGTAACAACATTGTCCACCAATCCAGTATGGAATCTGTAAACATTATCTTTTATATTATACTTTTACGTTAATTTAATTGTAGTAATAATCAATTCAAACTTACGGCAATGTTTAGAATCAATATTGTCCTTATTAAAAAGATCATATAATATGTCAAAAACCGACGATCTGAAATCTTTACATAATGAACCAATCCAACTGCTGTCACAGACTTTTCTATAGATATCTTCTACATCCTCCATTCTAAACTCTTCATTCTTAAAATAAACATATAAATATGTGTTACAAAGATGTCAAAGAAATATAACAAAAATATAAAAATATGAAACAATCTGTGCAAAAAAAGATTAATAATAAAAATGAGCAAAATAATCAGCAAACCTTCAATTCGTGAGTTAATATCACCATACATTTGCCTAGCAATCTTAAATAACAAATACGTTGAGAATATATATTGCTCACATCATGCGAGTGCATTTTTCTCGTAACCAAGTTACAAATTTTACGCTTATCGGCAATACAATATTCATTTGCATCCACTAGACAGTTATATAAGAAATCGAAAATTGTATCTTGCAGCTTGGGATTATATTTGTGTAAATCTTTAGTAAAATCAGCAACCGCATCAATAGCATAACTACTCAATATTTTTTTTTGCCGACAAGATTCTTTTTTAAGTACTTCGAAAATAGTGCTCCAAGCGATACTTTGTATCTCTGCCTCTGGCACGATCAAAAGCTGCGAATATATATTGAATGCTTCGGTTTGTCCATTGTACATTGTTTGTAAGAAATTCGAATGTTTTCCGACGCATAGTATAAATTTAATTGCAGATATTTTATACATTTGTTCTCCTGGTCTTCTTCTTAATAGATCTTTTTCGATTAAGTGTTGTCGCAGTCTGTGTAATATATTCTCCATCTTACAGCTTTCGATCCTAAAAAAAGATGAAAAAATTTATAAAAGAAGTTTATCTCAAGAATTATAGAGATCTCGCGAAATGATTATCTTACATATTTTTATCTAAATTGTATAATTTATGAAGAATATCAATGTATACAGTAGCTATAGCAAAACAACCAAATCCATTGGTTCCTTTTTCTAATCTTTCCAAAATCCAATCTGTTGTGTTTAAAAAATCTGTAACGTCAGATTTTGACAGCTGAATAGATGGCAATTTTGTTAAGATCTCTAGTATCTACAAATTTTTAATATCAGAAATTAATATTTTAATAACTCTAGTTAATATTTGAATTATTCAATTATTAAATTTCATTTGCTTGCCTGTAATAAATATCCATGTATTAGATTTGCTGAGGTGCGAGTATCTCGCGCTGTACATAAAACTAATAGTAACTTTTTCACAAAACTGTAGGCTGTATTCTCTGTTAAAAACGGCACTAATGCTCTAGCTGCCAGTTCACGTGTTTTATACACAGGGCTTTTAGCGCATTGCGATACCAAATTAACAAACTCGTTTATCTAGAAACACACCTGTCATTATATTGTTCATCTTTAACAAACAGCAAAAAGATTGGATTTCTTTTATAACTACCTTCCAAGCAATATCTGTTCCATCAAAATGATAATTAATATATAATCGTGACAATAATAATAAAATTGCTTGCACATTCGATTTTATCATGGTATCATTAATTGATATAAAAGTTTGCAATTCATTCAGAATAAAAGGCAGGAGATGAGGATATCTTTCGAAAAATATTCTGCCTGTCATTTTGTTATCTGTCGTCAAATTAATATGATCCTTGGTTCTTTGAACGCCAAAAATTCGAATTATAAGCGCACTAAACAATAATGTAGCCGCATTACGTTCCTATATTTAAAAAAAATTATTTTTGTGAATAAATTATTCAAATACGAATAATATTAATATTTTTCATATCAAAATAATTGAGCCATTGCTTACCGCCCATGTTTTACTATCATAATTTTTAAATGCCACTATTAAACCATCAGCAATATAATTCTTGACCATATCTCCGAGTTGAGAATGTCTAAATAAGGCTCTAAGAATGTTCATAGAATGAGTTTTTATCTCGGTTATATCAAAATTAATTTCCTTATAATTGTTACTATTTTCTATTATTGAGTTCGTTGAATGCTCGTATTTGGAAAATATTGTATTTTTATACATTATACACTTTATTTCTTGCCAACTAATTGTGTTTTCGAGCAACGAAAATTGTATTAAAATATTCATAACTGAATGAAACGCAGACACATTTGAATTATCATGGATTTTTGGTTCTGAGGATAGCACTGCCTATTTTAAGATAAATTTGTCTTAGCATCTTTTCCAAAGTTTTTTGTTTGATAAAATTTCATTCTTCATTTTTGCCCAAACCTGTATCATAAACGGTACTCCTGCGCTTCTTCTTGTTGCACATAATTTCGAATATCCTGGCATTAATCCTGTGATACCTATTAAGATATCATACAACCAATGTATAGGTTTTGCATTTAAAGTCGTGTTTGTTAATCGCCACAATCGTGCGCATACTTGATAGAAACCAACATATGCCTGCTCAAATGCACCTCTATGTTTCGTTTCACACAATAACAAAACTAGATGTTTCATTATATGCTTGATCTGTTAACATATTACTATATTAAGATTTAGTTATGAAAATATGTATATCTAAAATGTGCACATCTAGATTTATATATATCTCACTTGTTCCTCTGTTAATAATCCGTTTATAGATTCATCAGTTTGTATTGATGCCTTGTTAGCCAATAGCCCAAACAATTGGCTGACTTCTTTAACGGTACGCCAAGAACACAGTAATACCATTTGCGGTGTTATAGTTTCTTTCTCAGGAAATAATGTATCGTCATTAAAATTTAATGATTTCAAGTCCATAGGTAAATGCCCTTCTGGTGAGGAATTATTTACTATCACAGAAACAGTATGATTTAATTCAAAACTCAATAATATGATATTGGCTATAGTATTTCGCCATAAATTGTCTGTTCCTGCACTTCTATAAAAAAAAACATATCAATTATATTTACAAAAACAATTTTGCAAACAAAATTATATTTACAAAAACAGTACATTCTTTTCTCTTAATTACCTTAAATCACAATCAGCAAGCAAACTTCTTATGCAGAATAAATATCCATATAAGGAACATTTAACAATTGCCATTCCTATGTTTTGTTTTGCTAAAATTAATGCTTCCTGAAAAAGTAAGAGTAATAAAGACATTATATTAAGTTAATAATAAAAATTGATTAATTATAAATTTTCTATAGCAAAAGGATTGATTTACATACATGCAATTTTCTATACAATAGCAACACTAATTGTAATGTTATTGCCTCTATCATATTGTCTTCTGCACTGCAATAATCGCAAAGTATATTTCTTATAACAGGAGATAATTTAGATACTTTCAACATATATGCAGCTGTAACACTGTCTATAGGTCGTATGCTGCTACCTAATTCAAGAGCAACTTTAATTATTAGCTGAACCTGAGATTCCAAATCTAAACATAATAACATTGGATTTATAAGCTTTAATATTTGATATGCCATTTCCTTATTTGGTTCATATGTGTCCAGCAATAAACACTGGAATATTACTTCGGCTTGTTCTCCAGTCCATTTTATATCTTTAAATTCATTACAAAGATGTTGCATGAGTAAAAGGATTTGCAAACTGGACCGTCTACGACTGTACGTTGCATCTGGATACAAATTGTCGACACAAATTTCACGCAAGTTTATAAAAAATATAGTGTAATCCATTATATTTTGTTTAATTTCCTCAGAAGTTTTATAAGATAAAGCTAAAGCATTTTCATATGTTTCAATAAGATTATTTTGTTCTTTATAACGATTTCTCATGTTTTCTTCTTGAGTCAGTTGTCTCTGCAGAACAGTCAAACTATCTTTTAATCGCTTTAAAGCCTATAAAGAGAATTATAAATTTAAGTTACATAGAATTTTGATAGAACAAAAATATAATGTCAATATATCTTGTACCTTCTTGACAAAGGGTACATATTCCATTTTTTCACACAGATTATACTTCAAAAATAACAAAATTGTATCAAGCTCCATACGTGTAAAACGTAATGTACTTTTCTTTGATTCCACTAAGAGTGCCAATGTTTCCAATCTACACTGTGTAAAACAAAACAATATGTGAAACTATTTATTATTTGACTTTGATATCGTTTTGAATTTAAAAAAATAGGTATTATTTATAAAATAAATTTTTTCTTATTAAAGAGTTCCTGTTGATTGGAAATTAGATGTTACCTTTTCGCTGTAATGTCTGATACATGTTTCCAAGACATAGTATTCCAAGGTATTTCGCCATTTGAGAGTTTGCTGCGCGAGTTTGTCATCGGTATCCAATTCGCCCTTTTGTTTCAATATTCTTAGGCCATTTAATAATTTATAAAGTTCCTCCTCGCTCATATTTTTTAATTCCTGCATTATTTAAATCAGCAATATTGTACAGCGTGATGTACAACGTGTATCTTTCTAGGTTGGAAAACTCTGTTTACATACATTTTTGACACATCCATATAATGCCATCTTTACTATCTTTAGTGCAATTTAATATGTATATATATAAATCGCTTTTACCGATACTCGCTAATTTCTCTATTAATCAATAACCATTTATCCGATTAATATAGATGCCTACTTGATTGTAGGAATTTAAATTCGTCAAATACATATTTCGATATCCAGATAAAATTTAAATAAATCGATTTTTTAGGGAAAATTCGTGCAAGATATTCTATTACAATTTTATTTGAATATTCGGTATTAGTAAATAATAATAAATTAAATAAAGTAGGATTTTTATCTCTAGCATATATTTCAATATTTTAACATTATTTTCAATATATTCGAAGTAAAAAATACAAATATATACTATATCTCGATTCTTTGTATCATATTATCTTGTATCATATTACCTTGTATCATATTATTTGTCGAGATATTTTAAATATTTTATCTCTCTATCAATAATTAATAATTGTTTTCATGTAAATTGCATTATTTATTTTTATTGCCTTTTTTTCTTTAAAAATTGAATTTATGTATAAATATTTCATGTTGAGAGTACAGATAATGCAATTAAAACAGACATATTTATAGCGTGATATACGCAATTAGTTCGCTGCCGATCGTTTCGATATCTCGATTGCGGTTCGATAGATTTCGAATGGTGGTCACTCACGGAATGTATGTATACTTGAATCGCTCCGCAATTCTATTAGTGTCTAAAAGTAAATTTTACACATATGCGAAGAATTATCGGAGATATCTTACAAAGTGTTCTCATTATACGTTAATACATCGGTATTGATGATTCAGTATCTAATGCATGCTCGAGAAATGCTCTTCGCATATTTAAGAGCGTCATTTTCTTTCGAAAGTGAAACGAAGTAATTGATGCATCTTGATCAGGTATATCTATAACATTATTATTTTGTGATTAAGGAGGATCCTCCTCCTCCTCCTCCTCCTCCTCCTCCTCGACTGACGTCCATATCATGCTTTCAATTTTCCTTACAAAAATTTTTTTTTATTTGTCATTTTATATCTTATTTAATATAAGCAATGTGACAGAAAGAAATCTCTAATACTTTCTTATTGTCTATTACATTGTTATTTAGTATTTGTTTGCTTTTAAAAAATGCATCTCGTAAATACTAAAGGCATTTACTGCTTAGTGCACACTATGTGTATAAATCACACGCTATATGTATATGACTCTGATATTCTACGGTTAACATGTACTCGCATTTATTCTGACGACAGGCTTATCTTGGCGATATATATTACACACATATCTCCGCTTTATGTTTAGAATGGCCCTTATTTTGCTAAATTTTAAAAGATACATTACAATCTTGTTGATTTACACATGTCAGATAGCATATTACATCTTATCGTTAATAATTTGTGAAAAACTTGACTTACAAAATATCCTTTATTTTTCAAAGAACTTTCAAAAAATATTTGTATTGGCAATTTATTTATCTTCTAAAGCATCAATTTTATATTAATAAACAAAAAATGTAATTTTTATAACAAAGTGCAGAAAAAGATCTATCTCTTTTTATTTTAAATTATCAAATTTGTTCTCGCTATTAATCATATTGTTAACTATAACATAATCTTTTTCAAGACATTTTTAATATTCTAAAAAATTAATATGATAGCTATGTTCTTTCTTGTTTAAGTAATTAGGAACCATATCGCAAAATTATATCAATATATTAATAATTATATTATATATAATATTTCTCAAATAATAATATTAATATTTGATAATATTAAACAAACAAACAACTTATTGTTTGTGCATATGTTTACACTAATGTTTACACTAATGTGTAAACTGTACTGTGTACTTATGTAATGTGTATTGTATACTTATATTTTTATTATTTACAATGTATTAATGTTTTAATATTTTATTAATTTATCATAATTAATAAAAATAAATTTAGTATTATTTTAAATTTAGTATTATTTTAAATTTAGTATTATTTTAGTATTATTTCTTTAATTATTTATTAATAATTTATTATTTAATATTATTAAATTATATTTCAATTTGGTATTATTTCTTAATATTTCTCATAAAATTATATTACTTTTTAATATTTTATTAATAGTTTTATTTTTCAGACATATTTCATTTTTTTGTATTTTATTATGTAGCAATTTATGAGAAATTTTTTGAATGAATCTTTTCCTCTTTTTATTAATTCTTTATAAAGTCTTTCAAATGTTGTTAAATAGTCGCATTTATATTTATGTGATACAACTTGCCTTGGAAACTTAATTCATGAAACTGATTTCCCTGTGTTATTTAGAAGATTGCAATTTCGCGTGAACAATCTTTATTCACTACAAAACAATTTCGAAGAGCATCAGTTTCAATGACATTATTAGATCAGTCCACCTCAGTACAATTGCAATTATTATTTTGAAATATTTTCCTTCGTAATAAATTTGCACGGAGAATTATTATGAATATGTGAGAATTGTTATAAATACATACAATATATTAAAGGTAAAAATGAAGAAAAGTACTATTTAAATATAGTGAAACTAATTATAAAACATTTTGTAAATGCTTAAGCTGTGTTTATATAGACAGTCGTTTTATATAATTATAATTTTGTAATGCAATCTGTATAAAATATATTTTGTACCAAGATATCCGTCAAAATAATTAATTTATTTCTGATTATTCATGCAAAATAATTATTTTTAAAAAATATAATTTTTGTAATATAATATTTTGTAATTTAATATTTTGAAAATTTAATATTTATAAAACATATAAAAGATATTATTATGAATATAAGAAATCCATTATATATTTTATAAAATTAGATTCGCGCGATTACAAATAGTTTATTTTGAGAAAACATACGATAAATTCAAATATAAATTGTAACGTATAATTGTATCGTATTTTCGTAAGTCATATATTTTTCTGAAAAAAGTCGAAAAAATTACGCTACATAGTTTTTCATGTTTTTAAATACGAGGTCAAGCACAGGTAGTAGTATAATGTCTTCGTTAATGTACGAACCGCGGGAAGAGATGAATCTTTGAGAATTACATGAGAGCTCTGTTGTGTTTCGTTATTTTAATTGCGCGTCATCCTGGGAAGAATCCCAGAACATTTCCGACTATTCTCTGGCCGAAGTTTCTCGCTTCCATCTGACCGAAAATGCGGCCACGCGATTACGGAGCCGCATAATCTGCGTAATTAATCGTCATTTAAATTAGCTACAAATTTTTTTACTTACCATATTTTTTTTACCATATTCAGATATATTTATGAATTTATCTAACCAGATCTCGAGATCGAAAAATAAAATGTTTTTCGTTAGATACGAAGATATAATTGAGTTATATAAAAAAAATATATACATTCGAATATTTGCTTTCTTGGAGAATAAAAATCGAGAAACTATATTTGATTATAACTATAAATGTATAACAAATATATATGATTAAATTCAAGCTTTATATAATAATGATAAATTTAATAAAGCTTTATCTCCTTTATCTACATTTTCTGTATGCTTTCTCTGCTTCTTGTTGCAGTAAAACGTGACCATACTTATTTCATTTTAACTGCACAAAGCACCACGAAAACGATTTATTAAATAAAGAAAAAAAGAGATGTAAAGTAAAAGAAGAAAAGACATAAAAGTAAGATAATATAAAAGTAAAAATATTATTGGCATTTTATATATTTATCTTATATCGATTTATATTACGAGAAATATAAAAAATAAAAGAAGTAATACAATGAATATTCTCATTGAGCGCGCAATCATCCGTTGTATTCTGTAATATCTTTAGTTTGCGAGATTATTAGTAGATATCGAAAATTTATTAATAAGATTTCAAGATCGCGCTATTCTTCAAAATTACTTACATCGCGTATATTCTTGATAAGTAATCCGCATTGCCAACAATGTATAACTATGCATACGGAATTCTTGGATCGACCGCGAATCTCTTTCGTATGAGGGTGGTTTGTGGCGAACAAGTTTGTGGAATTTTCTTCTCATTTACGTCAGTTGAGCGAAGCAACGCGTTTTGTGACTCTCAATTTCCGACGAAACTATTCGACACGCTCACACCACTAGTAGGATACTTTCTATAGAACGGTAACTATAGAATACAAAACAACTCTAGAATTGAATTTGAAATTGGGGAATGAGATTTTAAATTGAGGCTTCTGTTTGAAGACCTTTTTTCTCTTGAATTGAAGAGACCTACCTGCTTATCTTTAGATACGTACAGAGGATCTTTAAAGATTAATATATGATATTTTTACTTTGAGACATAAATTCACCATTAAGTTTTTTTCTTGCCATTGTGATTTTCTTTCTCATTCTTGTTTTTTTCATTGTTTTCCAGCCACAAGAATACTCGGGGGATGTATTTATAAGAGACAACGTGGCACGTAACATGCAATGTCTTCGCCGACCAATTCCGCGCTTCGTTTCTCGTTTCACCGTGGGACATTTGTACCGTAGCAAGAGAATTCTCTCTCTCGAATCATTTGAGCGGAACATGTCTCGCGGAGAATCGTCTGATGCTGGTAAATAACCGAGGTAACTGCTAATTCGATTTACTGGCCAACCCCCTTTGCTTTCCCTTTCCCCTGTCAGATTCAATTAGCGAGGAGTTACGGGGCTTCGCAGGGGCAATCAACTAGTCTCTACAATTAAATTCCACACGCCACTATGTCAATCATCGTTTCAAATTCAGGAAACAGGAAGATGTTTCTTTCGATCCTCTAGGTAAACAATATTTGTAGATTCTCAGGTAGAATAAACGTCGACAAAAGTCAATCATGAAGAGATGTCAACAGAAGTCCTAATTTTTTGAACGTATTATTTCGATATTGATTTCCTGTCGATTTTTTTGGATACAATTTTAAAATCAGTCGATCTTCTTTTTTATTGTCAAATTTGTGAGAATATATTT